ACCGTTACTTACGTTACTTACGTTACTTACGTTACTTACGTACTTACTACTTACTACTACTACTTACTACTCTACTACTCTACTCTCTCTCTCTCTCTCTCTCTCTCTCTCTCTCTCTCTCTCTCTCTCTCTCTCTCTCTCTCTCTCTCTCTCTCTCTCTCTCTCCGGAATCAAGCCAAATCGAGATCGGCCAGTGACCGATTTTGTGTTAGTCGGTCGATTTTTTAAAAATCGGCTGATCTTTTAAAGGCTCTTGGCATAACATTCCAAAAACCTTGATAGAAAATAGGAAATGTTTCATTGAACATAAGGCAACCAAAATTTCTGTATGCACTTAAAAAAAACTAAATGTCCCATTTTCATCATTACAAATATAACTATGTCATGCACTTAAAAAAAACATAATTAAAAAAATCGGGTGACAATATCATGCACTTATCAAAAAGAAGAATCAATTTCATCAAAAAAATAATTTTATAAAAAAGAATAATTTTATTAAGCAAAATAGAAAATCGCGTTCCATGTTCATCAAAAAAATAAATTTATTAAAAAAATCATAAATCTATTAAAAATAATTTTATCAAGCAAAATAGAAAAACACTTCCCATATTCATCAAAAAACAAAATTTTATTAAAATTCATAATTCCTATTAAAAATAATTTTACTAAGCAAAATAGAAAAACACTTCCCATAGGCATCAAAAAACATAACTTTATTAAACAAAACATCTTTTTTAGAAAAATCGACTTTTCAAAAACCTTAATGATCGAAATCCACGACTCAATTTGAGATAAGAAGCCTCAATGATCGAAATCCACGACTCAATTTGATAAAAAACAACCAATAAATGGTTAAAAAATCTGCTCTTTTGGGTCAAACACAGGTTCTCAGAGCAGCAGCTTTTCGGGCAAAACTAAACCCTTGATTTTTTATTTTTTGAACAAATTAGGATTTGAATCTAGTAAATACTTCGAATAGAAATCAAACCCCTCAAATTTATTCAAGAATAGTTATGTATTGAGGAGATTATTGAAAGAATGGCGGAAAATTTTAGAAACCTAAAATATCCGCCATTTCAGTCCAAGAAACTCCTCTTTTTTCAATGTTTAAATCCAAATTACTTGTTTTATATTTATTCTATAGTGGTTTAAACCATTAAAACACGAAAAAAAACCAAATAATGGCCTCAAACAAAATAAAAAAAAAGGTAAAAATTTGGATTCATGGTTTTCCTGCCACATATAACGCTCCCTATTTCAAAATAACGCCGTTATTTATACATAACCGTTATTTACTTAAAAACGCCGTTATATCATCGAACAAGTCCGGTTAGCTGAAAACCAGCTGGTTTGCCAAAAATACGACCTGTTCGACCCCTAACCGGCTGGTTTTAGACCTGAAATTTTTCTGAGACATGGGTTAGACGACTGGTACTACAAAACCAGGCCTAACCGAACTCGGAACCATAGCGGTTCCGCGCTAACCGGCTGGTTCTGGTTCAAACTTACCAGTTTTGCGAACAATGCTTTTGATACAAGGTGGTCACAATTCCTTACAATCATTTGATGTGAAATTTGATAACTTGGATGTGTACCTAATTTCACATCCAATGGTCAAGATTAATGTGAGAACCTTGTATCAAAGGTAAATTGTCTCATTCTATACTTTTCCATATAATATATATATATATATATATATATATATATATAGTAAGTAATATA